TTTGGATGAAATTGGTGATTAAATTTAATACGAAGGCTAAATTGGTTGAAAAAATATTCCAGGGTGGACATTTCGACAATCGAAATAGTCCAGGGGGGTTTTCGGCAGTTTACCCAAAAATAAATGAAGGCGTTGTGAAAGATGAGATCTGGGGAGAATAAAAAGTACAAAAGAAAGAAAAGAGGCGTTGGTTTCGGCGCATCTTCAGATGTAGTGCATGCATAAGTCCACTTGCATGCTTTCACATTTTTTTTATAATATTTATTATTCGGAGTAACTATTTATATACTATATTTATGACAAGATTACACAAGAAGGTTGTTTGCTCCGGTGGAAAGCGAGAATAATTCTTACATGCTTCAAATTATCTAGGGGTTTCTTAACTTCCTTTATAATATAATATATCATGCTTCAAATTGTCTAGAATTTTTATTTTTATTTTTTGTAAGACCATCTCCAACCATGTTGGGGCTAAACTCAAATTTTCACCTTCCAAAATACAACTATTCATGTATTTTTAGGACTCAAAATTTTTTTTCCTCCAACCTTGCAGACTCATAATTTGAGTCCGCAACTTTATTAAATTGTTTAAGAGTGATTAACCCTTAAATTTTTTTTCTTGTTAATTTTTCTTGACATTATTTTTGTTTCAATACTCGTGATTTAATTTTCTAAACATTTTAACCTAAAAAAATTAAAATTCCAAAACATAATAGAATTTCACTTTAAAATAAAAACAAGTACAACATATTTTTATAGCTGTTGGAATATTAAAAAAAAAGAAAAAGCATAACATATTTGTTGAAAAAGTAGCCGTTGGCTATTAATAAAGGAAAAGGAAATCAGATTTTTCCCACTTGTTAGCGGGCCCAGCATGCATTGCCCATCACGTGGGCTTCCAGCAAAAATAAAAAAATTAAATTAAAGTAGATTTGGGGCCCACAAATTTATCAGTCCAGGCGGAAATCAGTCTGGAATTCCAGTCCAGTTTTGAGTTTTCTCAAATTTTCACCCTCCCAAATACATGGGTTGGAGAAGATTTTTAGAGGCTAAACTCAAAATTTGAGTTTCCACCCAATGGGTTGGAGATGGTCTAAGGGGGGCAGAAGCCCGAAAACAGCTAGTTAAATTTTAAAAACCTAAAAAATTTCTTTTTCCAAAAATTATAGAAATCCAAACTATTGGCAAGCCAAATATTCCAAAAATATTTTGCAACAAAGGAGTTTGAACCGTAAGACCTCCATGTAAAATAATTCTCACTTTCCACTGCAGCAAACAACCTTCTTGTGTAAACTTGCCATAAATATAAAATATAATTAGAATATTATAAATAAAAAATGTAGAGAGCATGCACTTGCATCTGAAGATGCACCGAAACCAACGCCTTTTTTTCTTTCTTTTCTAATTTTTATTCCTTTTCTTCTTCCCATATCTCATCTCTCCCAACGCCTTCATTTTTTATTTTTTTCCCATCTTCTTCTTCCTTCCGTCACTTTCCATCTCTCCCTCTCTCTTTTATTTATTTTTTCCTTCTTCTTCTCTCCATCTCTCTTTCTTTTTTTCCTCCTTCCTCTGTCAGTCTCTGCAATTTTTTTATCTTCTCCCTCTTTTGCGTCATCTTCCATATCTCTCTCTTTTTTCTATTTTTTTCCATTGCTCTCTCTTCTCTTCCTTCTTCTCCTTCTTCCCGCTCTCCCTCGAAGAACAGTTGTTGTCTGCCCTTGTCCTCTTCGTGGGCTGAGAAAAAGAAAAGGTGTTGTGTGTGTTAAACGGTGGACTAATATTTAATTATAGGGTACTTTTTTTTTTATACATTTAAGACTAAGTTGGAAAATCAACCCTGGCTAGAGCCCAGCCAAGCCCCTTCGTAGTTTCGCCCTTGGAGGTGTAGGGTTTGAACCCCTTTGTTGAAAAATATTTTTTGTAATATTTGGCTTCTCAATAGTAATGGTCCGATTCAGATAAATCAATCCATTTAAAAATCTCAAACTGTAAATCATACCAGACTGACCGATTTAGTCCGATTTGAACCCAATATTATATAATAATAAATAAATAAATAACTGAACCAAACCAACCCGATCAATTTGGTTCGGCCAGTTTTCCGAGTTGGCGGTTTAATTGCCCAGCCCTTTGCTCCCACAAAGGCTATATAATATATTAATCCGTTTTGGACTTTTCAAATAATTGATTGCAGGGTTTTGGCCCTTCCCCCGCCCAGCCGCCAAGCAAAACAGCAAAACAGCGAAATATTATTTACTGATTAAATGAATATTGGACTGCAGCACTCCGTCCTCATATGCTATGCTCATGCTGGGCCACGTAGCAGCATTGGGCGAGGCCACGGAGGAGGAGGTGGCCGTCTTTTTAATGATTTGAAGAAGGCCATAAAAGAAAAAGAAAATCTGATAACTAATTTAGTTTCAGTGTCACCGGTTCTCTAATCGGTGTCTCTGATAGTGTGGGTGATGGTGGGCTTATTATCGTATAACACAAACAAGTTGTGGGGCATTGGCAATGGGCAATGGAATAAGTGTGGGTGTTAGTCTCATTGTTGTTGGGAGGAAGGAAGAAGCAGACTCAGCAGAGCAGGTAATCAATTTGTTTCATTGTGGGTCTCTGTGGTTTATGTCTTGTTTAAATTTCAAAATCAGAAGCCATTCATTTTAGTTTAATTGCAATTTGCTTTAATTTCGTGTATTTCATGTGGGTCTTTGAATTGAGCCATCTTCTTCTAGGGATTGCATTGAAGCTAGGAAGGAGGTCTAGGGATTAGGGATTAAATGCCTCAACTCTTTGAACAAGGCCTTAAGGCTTTGATGATTTGACATCTATGTCACCATGTTGGTGTGCACTAGAGAGGAAAAGGCATAAGCTTTCTATAGGCGACATCCTAGTTTAATTCGAAACAGGAAATCAAACATAACAACTAATATTCTAGAAAGTCGACGTGTTGGGTAATTGGCTCGACTCTAGGTTTTCTTTCCTTTTCTCTGTATAGAATGTCAAGCTGGTCTTATCTGTGTCAGCAAGTAACCTTTTTTTTTTGGTCGAAATGTCAGCGAGTAACTTTAATATGGTACGTTTCCTCTTAAATTCTTCTCTGCTATGGCAAGGCTTGGTGAGTCAAGGATGACAAACCCTGAATGAATGTAAATTTGTAGTTTCTTCTGAGTCAAGGATAGAGCATTATATGCATATAGATTGATACCATTTAATGTCTATGTTATATTGATATCATTATATGCATCATAAATTTGTTGATTACTATTGAAGCTTTTCATTTTGTTCATTTGCTGGTTTTAGATAGCAGTGAAAGTAGGTTTGAGTTATGGTTGTTGTCAAAGCAATCATCATCTCTGGTTGTAAAAGGTTTGTCTGGTGTTAAAATAAAATAGATGTTGCTTTTGGGGCTGATACCTTTCTGCTCGTATGTGTCTCAGAAAAGAAGCGTGAATTCTGTGGAACAATTTTGAGGGTATTGCAAGACCCATAGTTATGTTGTGACAATAAGGAAAGAAAAGTACAACAAAGTTTATCACCCCATTTACAAGGCTTTTTCCAATTATAACAAGTGGACTATTGAAGTGATGTGTTTGGCGGTATAAACCTTAAAACTTTACGTTCAGCTTTCATATATAACTATGTAAAATTTTCGTAAGTTTGATGATTGCTAGCTACAATTTGTTATTTATCTCGTTTGTTCCTGTCTCTTTTCTTTCTTTAAAATATATATATAGTTTCGTTGTCTGAAAGAATTCAGTTAAAACTCATGCTCCTCCTTTTAAGCTTTGACAAAATCAGACCAAATATAGCGTGGTAGTGATAGGATAAACTAATTTCACACTTCACTCTTGATTTAGTTTGCCAAATGTTAGATCTGTTGGTACACTCTGTTAACTTCTCTGGTTGTTGCACCATGTTCTAATAAGTGGGTTCATCAAGATTAGTTTTTATTTCTTCCTTGTAATTACATTTGATTTCAAGGTATTTTGTTCTTTCAGCTGTCTGGATTGCAAGTGAAAATCATCTTCGAAATAATATCTTCAATGTACAAGGATGCCCAATTATGTACTTTACACCTTTGGGTGACAACCTGCTAATGTATGATGGGGATAGAACAGAGGACACCATTAACTTTCTTCAGAATAATCGGTATAAGATTTCCAAACCAGACTCAGTAAAGGATGAGATATGATTATGGTACGTTCCTTGACTTTTGTCTTTTACCAGAACTAATGATATCTATCTACATTGCGGATTACTTATTTCTGCTATAGTAAAAAAAAAAAAAAAAAACAGAAATTAAATGTTGTTACTTAAATCTCTGTTGCACATTGTCAAAATTTTATTACTCTCTCTGTATGTTAAAAATCTGTACATAAATCCATATCTATCTCGTGTGGCGACTGGAATCACACAGCACTAGGTATGTATGTGGAGAGTAAAACTTGTATAACTGAAATACTACTACATAATACTAACATGGTGTGTTTAACCACTCATAGAAAGTAATTTATCAAATTTTATTTTTTCATTTCCGATATAAAGCTTCAAATTTGATAAAATGTTAATGAATGGCTTCCTATGAGTGGTTAGACATTCTACGTCAGCGTGATGAAGTGGTATGACAGTCGCACGGTCTATAAGTACCAAGTTAAATTTGTAGAGCTCTTCTTAGAAAAACCAAACTAGTCAAACTAGAAGAACAGTAACTGGGAGGGAGAGAGAGAGAGAGAGAGAGAGAGAGAGAGAGAGATTGCTGGCCTTTTTGGTCAAAAGTTTAGGGCAAGAAGTATTTCAATTACTTGAAAGGTATGGAAATTGGAGTTAGGAATCCTAGTAGTGCTGGTGGTGTGTTGGTACTCAAAGGATTAGCAAGCCCAATTATTTTAAAAGCAATTATCAGGTGCATCTGTGGATGAACAAGACTGGAATGGTGCCTAAACGGCTGAATTTGAGGAACTATTATGATTAGACTTTCAAATGGTTTCATATCAGGAGCGACAACAGGGAATAGGCAGTGCTGAAATTATTCTCAAAGTAAATTGAACATAAAGTAGAAAGGAAACATAAACCGAAAATAAAAGCAAAATAAAGGTCTCTATCAGAACTCGGAATAACGAAGATGGGGCTGATGAGTCCATGACACCCGATCGATGAAGGGGCTCTGGTCACCCAGTCGGTTGCGTCAATTGTTCATTCCCCGTAGCTACTAGTGTAGTAACTGCATGAATAACAATAATTAGATAGACATTATATATAGATATATATATTGAACAGTTGCATCGACTATATTTCGTAGCTGTGGTTAATTAGGTTGATCAGCCCCCTCCATTCCGGCCATTGCTTCATGCATTACACCTCTTGACACAACTTTTTGCTTTCTTCTTTGAACCCTTTTGGATTTTGTGGGTTGGTTGGTCGTAACTTCTAAGTACCTCCAACTTTTGATGGATCATAGGCTAAGATGAATTGCCACGGCTGCTGGCGTCCTCCTTTTTGCCCCAGTCATGAAGCCTCAAGTGTAACTCAGCAGCAGCAATCAAGAAATGGACAGCCTGGATTGGAGTCAGAATGTGTGTCATGGCTTTAAGCGTTTTTAGCCGTAGACTGTCAGCCCTCTGCAAAATCTCCTCCAAACCTTGCTCCTTGGATGCCAGGACAGACTCAACTCGGTCCTCTTCAACTTCTTGCTCATGACCAGCATTAGTGCTCATCAACTCGGTAATCAAGTGTGACAACTCGACCATTGACGTGTCTGCCACTGACTCCTGCTGTTTGGCCATTTTCTCCGTGATGTCCCTTTCCTCCTTAACAGTCCTCCTCTGCAAATGGTCCACCTGCATGAGCTGATGCTGTGAGATATCTGCCAAGTCACCTGTATCAAGGCCTTCAATCAACTCTGTGAGTCGAGCCTCAAGTTGCAAGCCGGACTTGGAGTAAAAGAGATGAAAAGCCATGCTTGGTCGCCACCCACCAATCCAAAGGAAGGCATCCTCTAGGGAGGTTGTCCAGGAGGGCGAAAGCATCTTGAGAACGTCTTGCTTGACCCATCTGGACTTGGCCTCATAGTATTGCTCATAATGCTTCACCACACGCTCTACCAGTGTTCTTAAACTTGTATTAGTATTAGCTGCTGCAGTAGTGGTGGTGTTGCCATTATTGAGGTTGTTTCTGGTGGTTTGGTTGTTTTGGGAGGCAATGATGAGGTCTTGGAGATGTTGGTTTTGTTCAGCAAGCCAGCACTCAAAGAAATTGTGGAAACTCTCGTGCTCAACATCAAAAATGGTGTTTGTCATGGCTAACTCTGTAGCAGCTAATACAAAACAGACCCTACTACTTTTGTGTTATATATATAAATGTGTGTGTATGAATGGACAAAACCCACAGTCCCAGGTTTTATTATGCAATGTTTTTAGTTGAGGTTGGGTTGGCAATTAGGTCATGCTAAGAGGTTCTAGTTTATTGTACCTTATTTTATTTACTTCGTACCCAAGTTTCAGAAACGAAGGTGGGTCAAGTTGATGAAGCAGCAGAGAATACCAAGATTAGGAACCGTCAGCCGAGAATACCAAGACAGATATTTTAGATTGGCTTTGGCAGCGTTTGTCGTACATATCCAATATCCCATGCATCAAGTTCATTCATTTCATGTATGTTGATTGATATTTGTTTTTTACCCCTTAAAAAAGAAAAAGTCACAGCTCTAAAACAACTAACTACACACTAGTTTGTTTGTAGGTCCTGTGGGCGCTCTGCTTTCACACACTACTTGTATAGTGACTCTTTCTCACCATAAATATCTCAGTATCGTGTGCGCACACAAGCATGCCTACAAAATATCTCATAAATATGTGTATAAATACAACTGTGCTCCTCATTTAATAATCCAATTTTCTTATTCCTTTTTCTTATTTTATTTTTATTTTTGAGTACAACGATAGTCTAAACTACAATGGTGGGGGATTTTTCACACATACACAACTATAATGTTGTGGGGATTCGAACCTGAGATCTCTAGTCTGCAAGTCAACGTTCTTTTTCACTGGGCTAGACTCCGTTGACATTTCATTTTTACTTTTAGGTAAACTACAAATGACCCATAAACTATTGCCTTATTTTTCAAATTTATTTATTGATGATTAACAAACACATACGCAAACACAAAGAAACTCCATAAATTGCCCCCACCTTCAATGGTTTGTTAAATATTTTGTTCGCCTCAAGCCACTTGTATCCTTATTATTCAATTATTCAAATTCGATGAGAGGTCTAGTGGGAGGAGAGGAGCATGCTAGGATCTTGGGTGGTAGTGGTGAAGTGGAAGCGCTGCCACGAGGAAGCCACATAAATTGAATTTGGGTCATCTGATAGAAACGTTGAAAGATGTCGACCACATCACTTTTATTTTTCATCCCATATAACCACATCATACGAGTGCAATCATCCACAAATAACATAAACTAGCGAACTCCCAAGGCTGTAGAAACAAGGGAAGGTCCCCAAACATCATAATGAACTAAATCAAATGGCATAAGCCATTTATTACAACTCGAAGAGCAGGATACTTGATGACTCTTAGCTAAAATACAAGTCTGACATTAGAAAGCAGACTCATTGACATCACTAAATAATGCAGGAAACAAATGTCGTAAATATCCAAAGGAGCCATGACCAAATCAGCAATGTAGCAACCAAATTCGGCGATAATGAGAAGTTTCGGAGCTACTAGCACAAAGAACCCAACAAGTTGCCACATCATTCACATAATAAAGCCCTCCCTTTTAGTACCACGACCACAGATCTCCTAAGTCTGAATATTCTGTAGTAAGACAAAAGATGAATACATCAGTACAAAGCAGTTTAACTGCTCAGTAACATGCGACACAAATAATAAATTACTAGACAAAGATAGAACCGGTAACACTTTGTCCAATGGAAAAAAAAAGTGTCAAGAGTATAGAACCAGGCCCCGTGACAAGAGCAGCAGCATTATTATTTGGGCCCAAATTTGGTGCGCCTGGTCCAGAGATAAAAACCAACATCATTTTGGGATGCTAATTTGGACCTAAAAATGACGCCCTCAGCCCATTAAACGCGCCCAGCCCATTAAACAAAATAAACAGGCCAAAGCAATATCACTTGGCCCAAAGGAACAAATGGGCCGTCTCAAGAAGAAACTTGGGCCTCGAAAGAAGCCAAAACAGGTTTGAGCCAAAGGAACAAATGGGCTTGGCAACTTTTAAAAAGAGAAAAACCCGCAAAAGGAACAGACCCATGTGACCCCTGACTTGGAAAAGTCAATAACTTCGGCTGAAATTAAAGATTGAGCAGGGGCAGGTATAAAGAAGGATGTCTCTGAAAAAACTCTGTTGCCAGGAGATCAAACTCCGTTTTAATTATTCAAAAGATATTTTCCTATTTCAGAGAAGACACCATTCTCAAGAGATA